CCCCGGCCCCCGGCCCCCAGCCCCGAGCTTGCAGCCATTGGGCCGTGAGCAGCCCCGCGTCCTGCCGCGCACCCTACGCCGCCCGGCTTGGGGCGTTCACCCCCCACTCCCGCCCTGTCCCCCTCTTCATTCCTCCCCACATCCCAGGCCTCCAAGGTGGAGAAAATAAACTAAAAGCAGAGCAACTCAGAGACTCCAATAAAACGCCCAGGACCTAGAGCCCGAGCGCGAGCGCGTGTGCCGGGCGGCGAGGGGCGCGGGAGGCGGGGATGGGGCGGCGGGCGGGGGGACAATGAGCGCATGAAGTTACCTGCCCGGCGGCGGCGGCGGCGGCGGGGCCGGGAGGCGGCGGCGGAGCAGGCTGCGCGCTCGGCGCCGACGGGTGCGCGCCGCGGCTTGGGGGGGAGTTGAGCGCTTTTCCCCCCTCTTTTTTTTTCTTTTTTTTTTTTTCTCCTCTTCTTCTTAAACAAACCACAAACGGATGTGAGGGAAGGAAGGTGTTTCTTTTACTCCTGAGTCCAGACACCTCTCTCTGTTCCGTCTAAGCTTGTTTTGCTGAACACTTTTTTTAAAAAAAGGAAAAGAAAAGGAGTTGCTTGATGTGAGAGTGAAATGGACGTAAGATTTTATCCACCTCCAGCCCAGCCCGCCGCTGCGCCCGACGCTCCCTGTCTGGGACCTTCTCCCTGCCTGGACCCCTACTATTGCAACAAGGTGAACGCTCTGCTTTTGTTTCCACCGTGTTCTTGCTGCTTGATCCCGGGAGGGGGGCGGCGGCGGCGGCGGGCCGGCTCGGCTACCGGTGCCGGTCGGCGGAGGCCGGTCCCGGGCGCGCTCGGCTCGCAGCCCGCTACAGCCCTGCGTGCGCTTGGGTAGTAAATACTGTGCAGCAGCTCCGGGGGTTTGCCAAACACCGCGATTGTGCGGAAAGTGACACGATTTGCTCGGATTCTTTCCTTCCTGCTGTCCGCGACTAAGGCTCCCTGACTAGGTTTGCCGGGGGGCGTTTAAAAAAATTTAAGAGAAAACCACGGAATACTTTGGGGGTGTGTCTGGGGTCCGGGAACGGAGGCAGAGAGTAAGAGAAGTCAGTTTATTTTCTAGTTTCCCCTTCTCCCTCCCTCCCTCTCCCGGGCTGCGGGGACTCGTGGCACCGCTTCCCTGACCGGGATTAGTTGCCAGGGGAGCAGCCGGGAGTCGGGGTGCAGGGACCAGGGAGACGCCTCCGTCCCCCGCCGGGACAATTGCTCCACAAGTCTTTTGTTTTCCCAAACCCTTTCGGGCGGCCGAGCCCGGTGTTCGGACGCCGGTCTGCGGGCCAGGGTGCAGCGGGGTAGTGGGGTTTGGGGGACAACTCCCGCTTTGGGGGGGCGGCGGTAATTCCAAGTTTGTTAGAAGCCGGGCGAGCGCGACGAGTTTACGTCCGAAGCTCCAGCACTCCGCACGGGGCTGGAGCAGGGTCCCATGCTGGGCTGTACCCCCAGCCCGGTGACCCCGGGTGCCAAGGCCGCGCGGGACCCGGGCGCGGCTGATCAGGCGGGTGGCCCGGGACGGGGGTTGGGGCGGGGGGAGCCGGCCGGGGCTACTGCTGAGCTCCGCTTGTCCCATAGATAGAATAGTTAGGGGGTGCGAAGGGAGGGTGCTTCTCCAACTCTCGGCCCCGGGAGGGAGGACGCGCGGGGACTGGCCTCCGAGAGCAGCCGCAGGGCCACGGCTGTTCTCGCCTCGGGCTTATTGGACGTGTGTACGCGGTCCCGCCTGGTGAACGTCGGCGGGGAGGAATGAGTTCTCTGAGACGCTGGGCGAGTGGTTTAGACGCCCAGCTCGCGCTCAACCTGCCTGATACTTTATCCGCTGCAAGCAATTCCTTGTCGGCCCCTCGGTGAATTCCACTGGATAAATCGTTGGGACTCCTAATATTTGCCTGGTGGCGAGGCATCATCAAACAGCTTTTTTTTTTTTTTTTTTACGTGATACAGAGGTATTTAGCGCGCTGCATCCTCATCCCCCGGGGTCCCCACCACGCCACCCCCTCGCAGCTCAGTCTTGGTCAGTCGGGACACACACACACACACACACACACACACACACACACACACACAACTGTGAGTTAAGTGAACCACAGATATCACTCCGGGCAGAAGCTCCTTGATGTTGTGTACAGTGTAAGGCTCAGTAAAAGGGATGTGCTGTATGCCTATGATGGATAGGCAAGTTTGAAACGAAGGAAATATAGACTTGTGCAAGGCAGGAAGGCTTTTTATCGCACAGGGAGCTCTTTAGCTCCGAACAGGTTGGAAAGCTCGGGTAACTTTGGCAAGAGAAGTTTGTGTGATGAAGTTTCATTATTTGTTAGTAGCATAGTTCTTTTATTTTAAAATCTGTTTTGCCTTTATAAGCAAGTATTTTGTGTGTGTAACATTCTGTTTTGCTCATAGCACTAATACTAACAAAAATAATAAAGTAGCAGACCTATCATGGATAGTAAACACATCTTCCAGAGTAGTAACCAGTACCAAAAAGTCAGAACCATTTTGGCAGTGAAACTGGACAAATCTTATTAGATTTATCGGTGATTTTAGGCTCCAAAACGAAGGTAATGACTTGGATACACATTTCACTTGTCATTCTTGTGATAGTAGGGTCAGATTTAATTTAAAAGTTAAATGCTTTGGAAAATCAAGAATTACTTCAATATATTAAATCATTTTCCAATTAAGTGCTTTAAATAATTTTCGTAGGTTGTGCTGTGAATTGAATAAATTAATTTAGAAAGTCTTCAGAATTTCTTTACTAGCTCATTGAAGTTCCTTTTAAGTCCCCCCGTGTATGAGGAGCAAACTGTTCTTTTTAAATGCAAATTAGCCACCCTTTCTATAGACTAGTTGCAAGTCTTCTATTTAACTTATCCAGGGAATAATGGATTTTTAAAGATGCAAAGTCATGATATACTTCCAATAGTAGGAAGGGACTTCATGGAAATGCTTCTCGAAGAACGCCTTCCCCTGCCTTTCTCTGTATAGCAGTCTATCAAATATATTTGTCACTGATCCCCCGATTATATTAAATATACTGAGTAGGTTTGGTAGGCCCCAGAAAACCCAGACACTAGTTTTTTCTACTCCGTCATGATCACCACTGGTACACAATTTCTATCCAGCTTCACTATTTTAGTTGCTTAGAATGTAGTCAACTAGCATTCATTTTTGCAATGACTCAAGTGGATTTGCAGGGATATGGAAGATAGGCAGAAGTTTGGAAGAGGTGAAATAAGAAATCTGCATCTACATTTAGTAAAAACAAGTTGGATCAGACTTCCCTAAAAGAGCCAAGACAGCAAAGTAAACCTTGCGTCTTTCAGAGGTGTAATGAATATGTGGTTTATTACAAGAAACAGTCACTTTGTCAGGTTATTTGTTTTTAATAGGTTGATAAGATCATAAATTAATAATTATCTTTATTTTAAATCTGTCAACACTTTTGTAGTTCAAGTTGGTGTGCTAAATCCCAGTGGAACCAGTATCTTTATGTGCTTCAGAATCATGCAGTTGTACCTATAGTTTTCCCAATGATCTTTTTTTCAATGTTAGAAGAGACCCTAATCCACAAAATGAATATCCTCTTCCCGAAGCTTTTCTAAACTAAAAGGAGGTTGTGTTACCCTGCTGACACTTTCCCGCTGCTGCTCTATAGATTGCCAAAACGCTACTTACATTTTTCAGTCAATAAACTCCAGAGGAGGAATTTTTTTGGAAACAGTTTAATCTACTATTGCTCTATTGTAAGAGCACATTACGTTATGAGCACATCACTATGCAAACTGGCCTCCATTTTCACATAGCCCATTGCGGGAGAAAAGTGAGAACAATGCGGATGATGTTGGTTATGGCAACGGTGCGAGGCATCTCTTATACAAACAGGAGAACGGATGGCATGTTGCTGTATATAGGTCAGCCTTTGAAAGAGCAGCGTAGCTCTTAGACCGGACAGAAACATGCAGGCTGAAAGTAACAGTGTTCACCTCTTGGAACTTAAAGCATGGCTACTGTTGCAGACATTGGGAGATGGTACCATAGTCAGTTTCATCTAATTAAGACTATTTTAAGTAACATTGTATCCCTTAATTGAAATTGCGTTAAAGGAGCTCACAACTGGAGTGCAGTAGTAAGATATAGTCCTATTTTTTGTTCTAGTTGAAGGTGTCAGAGCATCAGTTTAAATCTATACCTACGGAGTAATAACAGTTCCTTTCAGTTTCTTAGTGCAGTGTCATTTGTAAAGATTGTTTTCACTGATTTTATGCTAAATTGGGACAAAGAAGTGGCACTTTTTCATTTTTACAGTGATGTGATGTGTTCAGTTCTTGCTCAGTATCTGCCCACATAAGGAGCAGTAATACAATGATGTTATGACATGGCTAATCACAGGGATGCTGACCTCTGCCAGCAGTGGGTGAGGAAATAATGGTCTTCACTGTTCTCAGTGGTTGCTTTTGTGGAATCAGGTCCTGAATCTTTCTTTGCTTGGTTTAGACACAGGGAAGTCCAAGACACAGACCCATGCTTAATACTAGTTATACACAGAGTAAAGAATAATGGCCATTTGGGATGTTGGGCTTTTGTCATTGAAATGAGGAAGGACAGTGTATAATCTTTTCATATAAACATAGGAAGAAGGACCTATTTGTGATGAACTCAGCATTGAAATGTCAGGGCTAACATTAAACACTCAATAACTTTTGAGAAAAACAAGATTCATTATTGTCTCTGCTAAATCTCCTTTGAGCTTATTTTCGTATTTAGTTAGAGCATTATGTCTTGTACTTTAATGTGACAAAACTCATCACATCTAAAATACAGGATGTGCAAGCACACATTAAGGTGGAGTCATTATTCCTGCTTTAATAAATGTAAGAAAAAAGAGGAGGATGGGAGAAGGAGGAAGAGGAGGAGGAAGGGGAGGGTTATAAGCAATTTAGAGCATCATGCTTGATTAGTTCTCTTATCCACCTCCATAACTTCTAGGACTTTAGTAAATTCATAGTTGATACTTGGGACATCATTAGTGTGATTAAAATTCCCCTGAGAGTTTTATTGGCTGGATCTTTCTTAAGTTTTGAAGTCCTTAAAATGTGCTTTAAATAAAATTTCTATAGGTAAGAAAGAGCATAAAACAAGCAATCATATGGTTTTGGCCACTAAATCAGATATCATACAAAACCCTCAAATGTAGCTATCTTGACTTTGTGGGATATTTCACTGTCACAAATTCCAATTTTAAATGTCTATGAGAAAATTGTAGTTATGGGTTTTGGAGAGCTCAAATGCTATTTTTAACACAGCTTATGT